CAAGAAACCTGTGCTAGCATAATGAGGCAAAACGACATACTACTGCGAATATGATATGAGTGGAATTTGGTTTGTTTGATTGTAATTAAGCACAAAGCTACACAATAGACTAACATGCTCTGCCCACCACGGGTATCGAAACCCGTATTCTAGCGTTGTAAGTCCGCAGACATACCGCCGTACCACTGGGGGGAGGGCGTAGAATTTGGACAATTTAAAAATGTTTTCTTCTGTAGGGCTTTATTTTATTCTTCTTACACGTTCCATAATGCACGAAATGAACATAATTTAGGGATACCCTCGGAGTCACTGCTAGTACTCAAATAGTACAAGATGTGTTGGCACCTGTGTACAATGTTGGCAAAAAAGAAATGAAAAGATAAAAATAAAACAGCAGTGGAAAATTTTCTTAGTCGGGATTAAAGTACTTATGGATAAAATAAAAATTAATATTAGTACATTAAAGCATTGAACAATAAACGAACAAATAATAACAAAAAGAAGATAAAGACAAGCGCAATAAACAGGCTGTCAAAGAAAAGCACTGTCATGTCATGTGACAATATAATATGACCTTTGATACATACGGTATGCCTACAGAACAATATGTTACAAACAGAACGAAATTTAATAAAACGGGTTTATAGTATTATCATCTAACAAGCTAATATTAAGACATAAAATGACTTCAGTACGCTTCTGACTTTATATATCAGATCTCTAGGGGAAATATTGGATTCAGCTGTTCCTTCAACATAGTAAACATTACAATACGAGAGATTAACCGCTTTAAATGAACTTCCTAAGAATAATGCATCATTTGATAGTGCGATTGCTTAGAAATGTCCAAAATACCAATAGTGTGTTAACTCTTTATACAAGTTGAAATGTTAGACATTAAATACCAGATTTTAATTTGCTTTCAACTGTTTCATAATTTGGTGTCAGTAGGTTCAAGATATACGTATTACTTATGAACATTGTGTTGGATCTCTGGATCACATTACTATCTTAATACCTGATAAGCATACATTCTGAAACTCGTGTCTCTGTCGAATAGCTGCGATTTACTTGATCGCAAATATATTTTTTAGTGATATTTTGAAATTGAAGCAAACTTCCCTTAATCTTGACCAACATTCAGTTGTCAGAATGGTTTTAGACGAGGTCTTAAGTTTTGATAATTTGTGCAGTATAGTAATGCAAGAATGACTCTGTCGCGTTTGTCTTTAATATCTTTACATTACACCTATCTAAAAAGATAGCCTGTTAAATTTTTGTTAATACTTTCTGCATTACAACAACATAAGAATGAACATTCTCGTATTTGTCTGAATAGTTTATTTAATATCTTTACATTACACCTATCTAAAATATAACCCGTTAAGGTTTTGTTAATACTTTCTGCGTTACAACAACATAAGAATGAACATTGTCGTATTTATCTTTATAGTGTATTTAATATATTTACATTATACCTATTTAAAATATAGCCTGTAAGTTTTTGTTAATATTAGGTCGTCAAGAAATTAATGTCGCGTTTTGGAACACTTTCATTAACCCCCTCCCCACAAAAAAAACAACAAACAAAAACGTACATCACGTATAATAGTTAAACGAACCGCCTAAACGCCACGTTAGTGTAGCCTATATAATTTGTAAAGTTTAATATACTCTAATCTCTTATAGAGGTGGCACACGACGAGACACACATTCGGCATGTAATGCTGTTTGAATACAAGAAGGGAAA